TCGCATCCGTCTTCTTATGCATAGGTGTGGTGCCGTGTTCGTTTACGATAAATCCCAACTATTCTACTTCCCTACAACCGAATTTACACTTATCGATTGAAATAGCCATGTTTTCCGTATTTAATTTGTTCAAAACTTTGGTCAATTTTTCAATATGTTGCTCTTTTGTGCCATGTGATATTATTAAAATATCATCTAGAAATGCGAAAGTGTCTTTCTCATTGTTGAGGGTTAGATCGATGGCTTTCTGAAATTCTGCGGGCATATCCGTTATCCCGTAGAAGCCAGTTTGGAACTGATATGTTCCCGTGGCCTTTCCCCCAATTATGCTGAAGTTACACTGCGTACGAGTTGTTTCGTCCAATGGCAGTTGACTGTACGCGTAGCGTAGATCTATTGTTGAGAAATAAGTCGTACCTGGCTTATTTGTACCCTCCTGTGCCGATTGTGCTATATTGTCTAACAGAACGTCAATATTTGGCATCTGGTACTTATTTTTATGGATCGACTTATTTATTTGTTTAGAGTCCATGGCTAATTTATTGGATCCATCTTTTTTAACAGTGATCACAATAGGGCTTATGAATTGGTTGTCATTGCATTTTTCAAGTCGAGTGATGTGGCCTTGGTCAATTAATGATCTAATTTCATGTTCCACCTTCTCTTGTATATGAATGGGAATTCGGCGCCCCCGTTGTTGTAAGGCCTTGAATTCAGATAAAAATTGTGTATGGGCCATATGGTTTTTTGAACGTCCGATTCGTGTACACAGTCCCGGGTACGTGGTTCTGACCCACGTTGCAATTTGTGTGTCTGAATTTTCGACACTGTTAACTTGTAGTACTGACTTACCAGCTGGTTTTTTTCTTGGTGTAGCTGGATGCCAATTAGCGGGAGAAGATTTCGCCCCAAGATGTTCGCGCGCCTGTCGTCCACCACAATGAAAGACGCTGTTTGAATTGTCCAACCTCCCGATTCGATTGGGGCAGTCAGTCTGCCAAGGGATGGGATTTTGTAGCCATTTTTGCAGACCATTTTGTTAGCTTCGTCGTCATCCCTCATTCTTGTTCTTACTGCTGACTTGACTGTTGTAGCCAGAAGGTTGGCTGTTTTTTCGTTTACGAACGATGTTGGTGATCCTGTGTCGGCAATAAAAACGATGTTGTTTTTCTCCGAGCGCACCCGTATAAGATGTCCTTTGAGATCTGTGTCAAATAGTTCTTCTGCCCGTCTTGGTTCAAAATTTATCCAGTTTGTGGATGTATCGTCCGGATGGATTAGTTTCCACCCCGGGATAACGTCACCCGCTTGTAGATAATTGACGTAGGCTGTCATATCGGTGTTTTGAAGGTCTTGTTGTTGTTGATTATCTTCTTGGATTGCGTTTACATTGCTAGATTTACAAAGTCTTGCGAAATGACCCCTCTTGGTGCACTTGTTGCAAACTTTGTCACGCGCCGGACATTGTGCTAAATGAGTTGCTGAAAATGCATTCCCGCATTTGAAACAATCTTTCCTTTGTCCAGCCTTTTCCGGATAGTTTCTTGACGTTTGTCCTCCTCTACCGCGTCCACCTCGCTGTTGAGATCTAGATCCACCCCGCTTTTGGACGAAGTTTACCGGTTCGATTTTATATTTGGCAATCCGGTATGACTATTTGAAGTTCCCTGTTTTCTTATGTAAACTTGGTTCTCGAGGCCTTTTTCGCGTTTCATTGCGTAGTCCAATGCTTGTGCGGGCGTTTTTGTTTCGGCGAGAAGGTCTTTTTGAACTTCGTCGTTTGACATGTTTGCCGTAAATAGATCTCTGACTATATCGGACTCGAGACCTCCATCGTTGCAAGCCGTGCATTTAAAATGTCCTTTTACCACAAGTTCCGTAAGTCCGCAGTGGAATTCTTTCAGGGATTCTGTTTTCCGCTGTTTGCGTGTAAAAGCTTCGTACCGATCGAATGTTACGTTGCGTTCTTTAACAAACAGTCGTGTAAGGAGTGTCCAAAACTCTCTGGTGGAGGTATCTTGAATTTTAAGATTTGGATAATATTGTGTTAGTCGTCTTTGGCCCTCCGTCCCCAAACACAAGTATATGTAACTTCTGCATTTGATATCGGCTTCCTCCCATGGTATGCCGTCGACGGTGGGACCGAGATTATCCAGATGTTGACATTGGTTCTCCCATGCTACACGTTTTTCTTGGTTACGTAAGTTTCGATCGCGTATTTGTTTGTCTGTTTCCCCTTCTATATTGAGCTCATAGCCTGGTTCTTGGGGTTTCCGAACAGCTGGGGGGTTACGTAGAAGTTTGTTCAAATTCATACCATCTTTGGCGATGATGCCAAGAAACAGCTGCTGGTTCCATTTGTCCCACTCTATTGGCGGTTCCGCGGACGCTTTCTGCCAAAATGGTGTAATCCCCAATGGATTCTTTGTGAGTGCTGGCTGCGCCATGTTATACCCTCAGCCGTTAGGTGAGGTATAAGATAGTTGTTCAAAGTCTATGCTGAGCGCTGACTGAGAAATAAGAAATAGAAAGATTAAGATCACAACTTAAATTCATCGGTCTATGTTTAAGTCTGGTTGACGCTGACCTCGAAGCATTTGAGATACAGCGTTTCATAATAACTAATACATATGTTGTTAGGTATAGATAGATACTTATTTAATCCTCAGACTTCTATATGTATTATGTAATCAGTTAGGTTTATAATATGTAAACATTACCAACTGGTAGTTTTAGCACCTAATTGTACATTTTTTATAAAGGGATGTTTTACTACGATATCCGTATGGATAACATTTCCCTCCTTGTGAGAAATTGAGTTTGCAATTTAAGGTTTTTCTAGATCCTCCGCCTATTTTGTGGACTTCTGTGTTTCTCCTTCTTTCTCTCTCTGAAAGGTCATTGAATTTCCTCTAATTGGACTGATCGATTGCAGGAAATTCATAGCGTCCTCAAAGTCTTTACTGAAGGAGTCCTCTGTGATCTTCGGCTTGTCTAGGATGTAACGCGAGCTTGTGGTTCTTGGTGGTGTAACGGTTGTGGTTGTTTCTCGGGCGTTTTCAGGCGTATCGCTACTCATGTGGACTTCTGTACATACTATTTCTTCTGATGTTGCCAATGATGGTGATAGGTATGCCGTGACCTCTTCGTTTATCGTGGTTTATTTGTCGCATTTGTCAATCAGATTGGATGTGTTAGATTCCTTTGGTGTAATATCCTCCGTATTTGTGTACTCGATGGTTGCTACCGTGCCTGATGTTTCTGTGTTGGTAGAGATGTGTCCAATTGCGATGGCGTTCCCGAATTTTCCGGCTAGAGTGCTTGTCCTTGATCTTGTTGATCGCCGAATTTCCGGCGAGTTTGTTTCCGGTGTGGCCTTTAGATCAATTCTTTTGGCTGCGGGTTGTTTACTTGGAGATGGGGTTTTATGGTCGAGCTCGGTATCCGATGAGAGTGAAATCGATGTGTCACAGTCGAATTCGATCGTTGCGGGGTCGGCTTTGGCTTTTTTCTTGGGGCTGATTGTTCTCTGTGGTACTGATTTTGCCGGGAGGCGTTGCGTGTTTGGTTTGCTCCTGTCCCGGGCATTCTTCTGGTTTTTTTGATGTAAATGTTGATAACAGTTTTTGTGGGCCTAGAGCTCGTCAATTCAGCGTTTGTTGTAGTATTTCTTGAGTGGATTTTGGTGGTGGCTTTCTCGGACTTGTTGTCGATTTTTTTTCTGTTCTTCCTTGCGCCCCCATGCTAGGTGTCTTTTTTCCTAAAATACGCGGTTTAGCTCTTGGTAGGTGTTTATAAGCGACAAAGTCCTTTAGTGCCGCTGGTCTACATTTTCCATAGACCCTTGGATCTGGTATGAATGCAAGATCGTCGTGCCTAATTAACCTAGGTTGCTTCCCGTCTTCCCTTATCCACGCAGTATGTGGGGAGTAATTCATTATTGCGCCATTTTCAATAATTTTGAATTGTGCCCCAAATGTTCCCGGATTTTTAGTTTTCCTGGCAATTGTTCCCGTTTTCCTAGCGACTTGTTCAAGACGTAGTCCTGTTTTAGGATTTATTGTATGTGCTGGACCTTTAAAACGATCCTTCAGGAATATTAACGGGGCTCTTCGTAAATTTTCTTTTTCTTGTCTTGTTAAGAGTCTTATGGGGTTACGTGTCCTTAAATTTTCAAAATCGTTAGATTTTTCTTTTAGAAAAGATTCCTGGAGTGATCTGGCTTCATAAGGTTTGTTTGATAAAGGTAGATGCGCACCTATTGGGAATTTTTGGAGTAGTCTCCTGTCGAACTCCTCATCGCTACTGTCTAGTGTTACTGCATCCGTGTGTGTGATTACATCCGGTTGGTGGTGTGCTCGTCGTTTTCCTGAGGTTGTGTTTGTGCTTTGATTAGCCTCGGTCGCGTTTCGTTCCGCGTTGATTTGTGCTGGTGGAGCCGGGTTGAAAGTCGGTTCGGGCACGTATTGATGATCTGGTGTGGGCTTCGGCTTGTATTTTAGGTCCAATTCGTCTTCACTGTTTACCTCTCTGTTCCACATTGTTTCCGCCGACAGCGCTGGTTTTGATAGTACTTTTTCGTCTAAACATGACTGTTTCGTATTTTCCCACGAAAGATTTGACAATTTAGACGACGTGCTGAGATTACTTAGGGGTGTATAGTTTTCTACCTATCTAGGAAGTCTAGGGCAATCCAGAAAGTCTTGTTTTTTCTATGGCTAGAAAAAATGTTGCTAAAAATAGTTGACCAGAATTCACAGGCCTTGGGCAAATTTACAAAGTTTGATTCAGATAATTTAAGAAATTTCCCAAAGAATCAATCAAAAAATTGTCATCACTAAAAAATTTAAAGCCATACGATTGTTTGAAGCAATTTTATAGCATTTTTTGCATGAGCTCATATGAGTAAATTATCCTTGTTATGAGCCCGGAAAAAACAGTCAAATATTTAATTAAATTGATTAGATCTCAAATTTTTCAGATGTCAATTAAAAACAAATCTATTTGTATACATAAACAGAGGCACCCTTGGCATATTCTTGTGCAATTTGTCTCTTGGACAGATGTGTCGACCTCTCAGGCGCCCTGTTCAGAGTCGGAAGTTGCGAGTTCTTAACCGACACCATCCGAGAGTACATATTTCTCCGATTGAGCGACTCTGCTTTCTTCTGCACTTCGGTCCAGTCGGGTCCCAGACTCCTCGGCAACTCCTTCACTCCTCGGATCATCTCGGATCCGGTATTTGTTTTAATCACTTTTCGTCTTCGCTTCTTCTCGATTTTTCCTAAGTTTAACTCGCTCGAAGGATTTTCACTCTCATTGTGACCATCTGTTTCTATTAATTCGTGCTTATTTTCATGATTTACCTCGAAACGCTGATTATTGCCGCCTTTGCTCGTAATTTGCCCTATTGCGTTTGCTTTTGAAGAGTGCTTATTTCCCAAATTTAGATTTACTGCAACATCAATTTGGGGTCTTTGGTTTGAGCTTTGAGAAAACGAACAATCGCCAATTTCTATAACTTGATTCAGCGTGTTTGAGTTTGAGTGATTGCTTCTACTAACTCGCCGAATAAACTGATTTGAATAGCGTCTCGATCTTTTCTCGCGAGGTATATTGGGATCCGGAGGCTGATTTTGAAACGCCTTTTTCTGGAAGTTGGTCGAGTGTTTTTCCGACTGATTTTGTTCACTTGTCATGAACAATTCGATTTGTTCACGACTCAGAATCCGACCGTCTGTCATAACTGTTTGAAACATTTGCATCATTGAGCTGAACTGACTCGGATTCGAGGGGTCAAAAACAGTTGGCTTGTCAAATTCGTTCTCGGGTATATATGGAACCCATAAAACCGCTTTGTTATGCTGAGGTTTTGTTTCATATTGAGTTCTATAATTTTCCTCTAATTGAAATTCTGGTGAAATCCGTTTCTGATCTCTTTTTACTTCTTGTAATCTTTTTGTCAGTTTTCTTCTAGTTAACTTTGAGACGTTTCGCTTATTCGAATCAACAGTTTTGACTTTCACTTGATCATCTGAAAAAGAATTGTCACTGGAATTCGTTTCCGAGTCGTCGTTAGTTTCCGAATGACCATCTTCGTTGGGCTCAAACTGTAGACCGATATCACTAGTTGATCGGCTGTCGGTTTTCCGGATCGGAACCCGGTGAACCCGGTGTGTTCGGTCCACTCGCACGACTTGATGGAAATCTGCCTCGGCTATTCCTTCGTAATCACTCGGATCTGTTTCTGACTCACTATCGATCTCGATAATTAATTTGTCGTACTTCGGCTTGTTCATTTAAGGCGTCTATGAATAACTAAATTAACAATACGACTTAATAATTTTCAATTAAGCTATGGTTTGTTTTTCTGCACGTAAAAATTTTTAATGTGAATAAATCACAGCTGTTTAGTTTATTACTGAGAGCAATCAAGATTTGTGAAGAAACTGTTTTGTATTAAAAAGTATTTAGTAGAAAAATTACTGGCGACAGACAGCAATTACTGAAAATTTTGTAAAAAAATTTGATCAAATACGTTAATATTTAAAGCAATTCAAACTCAGGAGCGGAACTAAGATTTTCTCGAGGGGAGGGGGAGGCGGTTTTTCAAAAAAATTCGAAAATTTTGTCGACTTTTTTTTAGGTCGACCAAATTAATTTTCCGAGCTCTCCCAAAGTAGTAAAAAGACCCTGGTTTGGCCAAATTTTCTGCGCCGCAGGCAAGTGTTTGAAAAAAACAGGCCAAAAAAAAACGTTTTAGGCACTTTTTGGAAGTTTTGACCAAAAAACCGCTTTTTTCGGCGCGTACTCTCCTCAAATTTACTATAAATTGGCGCCAAAGGCGCCTCAAGAAAAGTTTTGGGGTCCGTCAGCTTAAGCTTGGATATCTTAAAATAGTTCAACTCCCCTAAATCCGCCCCTGGTTAAAATATAATGTTCCGATCAACTTATGTAGCTTTTTTCAGAAAAATAAATTCTTCCTCGCGAGGTTCGACAAGCTCTTCGGAATTTTTTGAAAAACAAATCCAGAAGCTGTTTTTTTGCCTGGCGACCTGAGTTTTACCAATAATTGTCATGATTTACTCACTTAAAGTCTCAAACCTAGACGTATTGAAAAATTCAGGGTTTTTCTCAGAAATTCATAGACCGTTGAAACAAAACTGGTAGAAACAGGCCTAAAACAAATTTGCCGTTATTTCAGATCTAAATCCAGATCTGAATTTTTTTGTCATGTATTTTTCCAGATTTAAAAAATTTGTTTAAGATCTACATTGCACACCAGATACAAAGAATTGAGGTCTGAAAACCTTCTTACAAATTATAAAGATTTATAGATGTGAAAATCTACTAATAATAGAAATAACTAAGTTCAGATCTGAAATTTTCTTACGACAGTATTAGAAATAATTTTTGATCTGAAAACCTTCTAACGAGGGGAATAAAAAATAAGGTCATTTTCAAAGAATTCACTCAGTACGGGTAGTGATGCAGGAATTTTCTTTTCTTTCGATGAAAAGTTCATTTGAAGATCAAAATTTGAAAAACTGAGTGTTTTTAAGTTTTCAAAAAGTTTCAACGTCAAATAAAAGAAGAAGTAATTTGTAATTTCGCATTATTTGCAACGAAACGATTGATAATTAACAATATTTAAACTAAATATTTTATGATGATATCTTTTATGAGTGTTTTGCGTGATTTGAAGCACCAGGATTGCTTGCTCAAATAAGTTCATTAGAAATTAGCCCCAACAAGCCTAGAAAAGTGATTGTTGATCCGCAATCTTGGCTTTCTTGTGTCGATTGATTTTTTTCTTCTTGTGGTCCATTGCCTCCGGAACTATTACTAAAATCAATCTCGTCCCGGTCATTGACCCCCACATTTTCGATCCACTCCTCCCACTCAGTGGGCAAACAGTACTGAAGAACCGACAGTTTCCTGTTGGAACACATCTTCAGCTTGGTCAGAGTCTCATCCGGGAGGTCGCTGTTCAGGACAGCACAATTCTCTTCACACTTCTTCTCTGGGTCGTAGCCCGGCACCTCGACCTCAACCTCCATGTTACACCTTAAGTAACACTGTTTTGTACTCATTCTATGGTGCTTTTTCTGCAACAAAATATGTCCTAATTCCTTGTCTCTTTCAATATATTTGGCAAAAAAATGAATTTTGAAATTTTGTCAAAAAAAGTAGCATTTCCCGTCAGAAGTAGATCTAAGATTTTCTCGACAGGAAGATTTTTTCATATCTTCAAAAACTTTGTGGATCTGTTGGCGAACGAATTCGTTTTCCCGATCGCTTCAAAATCACCACAACGACGCTATCTTGCCAGTAAAGCAAGCCTTAAAACTGACAACTACGCTAGGTTTTTTTTATAAAGTATGCATCTCACTTGTCCTGTGCGATATTGTCTTTTATTCTGTGCAGTCCCTGTTTCTGCATGAAGCACAGTTGACACAGAGTCCCGTTGGGCAGCTTGTCACACTTGTTCCCACTACTCCACATACTCTGGATCTGCTCAGTTATTTCCAGACCACAAAGCTCTTCTCTGTCTCTACCTGGACCACAATTGCTGAAAAACAGATGGTATCATTATAAATCATTAAAAATCACTATATCATTATATAGCATTACGTATACGTGTCATGACAAAACTCTGACATTCGATAAGTTTTTTTGCGCTCTCTCGATGTCCTTGAAAGAAATGCTTGTTCATATGTTAATATCTCGCTAATCGAGCTTTGATCTTTTGATTTTTTTGAAAATTAGTTTTTTTTTCCAAAAAAAGCGTGGAAACGTTTCTGCTCGGTGTGTTTTCGAGACAATTGCGGATTTTTCTCCAAATTTTTTTTATCATACAATATATTGATGTTCCCAGCTCAAAATAACTTTTTTTGTAAACATATGGGGGAGGAATGAGGTGTTGAAATGTTTCTAAAGTCAGAAACTACATAACATACGTGGAAGGCGAACAGCGAGTTTTGTCGAACTTTAATTCCGGTTGAGCTGTGATATAAAATACCGAATACGTAGTCAGTCTTGACCGAATTTGTTATTAAATACTAGCAAAAACTGTAGGTAATAGGATTGTATTGGTGTACTGCCGCAACAAAGTTGTTCCCATTATACAACATGGAAATTAACTTTAGGGTGCAGTTACACTCCACTTAACTCAATTTTTTACCAAAAGATAATTTTCAGATTTGAAATTTTTTGAAAAAAAAAGATCACCGTCAAGACGCTTTAGGAAAACATAATTTCCTATTTGTCGATGAACAACAAATATGTGCGATTTGAAACTTTTCCTTAAATGAGATTTTAAAGTTTGTCCTCAAAACCCCATAATGAAGTGCTTGGTAAACTTCTTAGGTCAAAAATTGAAAAAAAAAATGGGACAGGATAGGAAAATAACTCAAATGATAGTTAAAGTTCATCCTATATGGGCAGACACTTAGTGGATCCAAAGATTTTGTTTTCTGTCTTCTCCAAGACTCGGAAATAGTCTTTTTCTGAAGTTTGATAAATATTTAGTTACAGAACTAAAATTTTTTTCGTAGTAATGATATATAAACTATATGAAGTTTTACCTGTAGAAGTTGTCGAACATCAAGACTTTGTCCCCGAGAGCGTCTTCCTAGAATTATAGAAACTGCTTCAGAAAAACTTCAAACACATTGGTGACTCTTTCAGGAAAAAAACTTTGAGAGCTTCAGGCTAGTGATCAAAGCAAACGGATGGGTAATTCAGATACAAAAGTAACGGAATAGTTGTGCTCGGGGTGGTTTTTTTTCTTCAGAAAAAATTCTACTTTTTAACTCGCCATTTTTGACCGAATGGCTTCATATCATTCGGAAGGTAATGTCCTGAGCTCAAATTTGAAAAGATATTTCACCTGTGATCATTTTTCGTAAAATTAAGGGGGTTTAAAAACTTTTTTTTTTTATTACATCTAATTTGTTAATAATTTTTATGTTATTACTGCTCCATAAACCTTATAAGGCAGTCGGAACATTTTATCATTTTGTCCTCACTTAATTTAACCTTTCGATAAAAGAATTTCAATCTAATTTTCAACATAACCTTAAGATCAATTTTGGCCCGTCTAACAAAAAATTTTGCGTCGAATAACAAAGTTTATAAGCATTCTTGCCAACACTTTCCCAAAAAAGCAGAAATTAAAACAATTGCGGTTTTACATTACAACACTAAAAAAAGGTGGTAAATGAACGTGCAGAAAATATTTCCGACTAAATTAGAGTTCTTCGTTGTCCTAACGGCAAATACAGGTAACAAGATTGCTTGTTTCAGGTCAAAACAAGCACTGAATAATGAAAAACTCTATTCGTCATTGAAGGTGTACCAACTTAAGCGAACGGAGAAAAGGTAATTTAACCTGCTGAATCGCCTTTGAGAACTATCTATCTATAAATACTAAATTAACTAGAACTGATTGGTTAACCTTAATTAGTATTAATCCAGAAAAAAAGAAAGTTTATAGATTCTAGAAAAAAATAAATTTCAAAATCTATTAGCTCACTTATCTTGCATCTTATTACCGCGTTTTGTAAAGAGTAAGTTCGACAGCAATTACAGACTGGAAAATTGCTTTTTGTTTTATTTGCTTTATTTCAATTATTATCACGGGCTGTTATACTAGTCTAGAACACTATTGAACAGGTGGCAGTTTTTAGGTTACGTAGCAGTGTTTAGACAACCGCGTATTCAGACTCGTCGATAAATAGACAAATACTGTATTAACCAATCAGAATCGAGACAAGGAAGAACTGAATAATTAATAATTATTTATTTCGTAAATTTGCTTTCTCATCTCGATTCTGATTGGTTAATAAGGTAATTGTCTGCTTACTGACGAGTATGAATACGCGGTTGTCTAAATACAGTCCGCACTCCCAGTTTTTATATTAATCTCCTAATAAATTTGCTGTAACGACTGTATATTCAAGTCTGCAGTTATCGACGAAAACGATGGAATTCCGTACCCAGGGGACTTTCTGTGCAAGATCTGAAATTCTTTATTTAATACTGAGGTTGATTCTCAGATCTGAAGTTCTTTATTTCAGATTTTGATAAGAATTTACAAATTTCAGATCTGAAATGGAAAATTTCAGATCTGAAATAACCTTGAAAAACAAAATTTCAGATATGAAATCAGATTTGAGAAACCTTCTGTTATATTGTAATTTATGCATTTCGAGCAAAAAATGGAGTTTTTATTTTTTGATGTTTCTGAAATACACCATTATGTTTAGATTAACTAGCGGTCAGAAAAACTTCCGAA